TGAACCCGACGATACGAATTGCAACTCGATGAACTTGGTCATGGTTAGTCTCGTATCTGGAGTGCTGGAATGCCCCTGTAGTGGTGCTTACAGGGCACACATTGAGCAAGTGGTTAACCCAGTGGGGGCGACGACTGGCGATAACCACTTGCACAATGTATGCCCTGTATAGCTTGCTGTTAGTGAAGGAACTTGGGAGATTAGTATTCCTGTGAAGTATCGGCTTGGTTTGGGCTCTGTTCGATGTGAGCAACCGGCTGTTGGCCTATATGAGAATGTCCAGCAAATTGAAGACATTCTTGTTCGCGGCAAACTCTGTGCCACTCACCATGAAACGTTGCCGAGAACAATAATATCTGAGAAGCTCTAGCGAACTGAAGACATTATTGTTCTCGGCAACGTTTCATTGTGAGTGGCATAGAGTTAGGTCACTCACCTTGAAACTGCTGTTGGCGTATCTGAGAAGCTCTAGCGAACTGAAGACAAGCCAACAGCAGTTTCAAGGTGAGTGACCTAAGTTCTATTCGCACAAGCCGTTTATATGTGGATACGGAAGCAGCGCCAATGAAAGCCAGCAATTTCCCTCTAAAGTGGCACTTCATAATTGCTGCTGGGTTACAATAACGCCGCTTCCGTATCCACATATAAACCGCTTGTGCGAATATCGCTTAGGCCACTCACCTTGAAACTTTACTGTGAGCAAACGGCTGCTGGCTTAGAGGACCTCATCGGCAGCAGCAGCAACAACTGTTGCAGCAGCAGCTGCCGAGGACTTGTATAGTACACGAGCCGAACCACCACAGAGGTATCATGTCATCTCCCCGCAGCATCTAGACCTCCGGGTGCAGAGTAATTTAGCATCTGCTTCAGCCCTAACGCAAACAGCAGTAGGATGAGAGCCAAGAGAAGCAGCGGCAGGAGCTGCGGATTTGCCTCGTTGTTTTTGATGTGTCAGTACATGGACACTGCCAGTCGATATGTTGTAGCTTCGAAGAGATGCGAACTGTGTAAGCAGGAGCACTATCAGCTACAGCGCTAGAAACAGCCGGCATTACCTGGGGCACATTTTAGCCACAATTGCATCGCCCATGGGCGCCCATAACAGCAGCAACAGAGACCACAGCAGCTGCATTAGGAGCAGCCATATTGGCTCCAGCATATCGAGGCTGTTGCAGCCAGAAAGGCATATGACAGACCAGGTGTGCACTACCTTTGGCATGAGCTCACACGGGCTTAATTCGAACCCTCACACTCACCTCTTTTGCATGTTTGCAGATTCCGTAGCACTAGCACCAGCCATGCCAAGAGCACCAGGAACAAGCGCTTAGCAATTTATGCGAGCGGATGCATGGAACTGCCTTTCCTACCACGTCGGTGATATGAGCGGGAGCCGCAGTTGTTGCTGCATTACCCTGCGGCACAGCTGGTCCGCTGGGAAGCGTTGGCATCCACTGTTCCGTATGTTCCTGACTCCACTGCTGCCGTGGCCCTTCTGCAGATGTTGCCCTTTGCCCCCTGAGACAACTGTATGTGGTGTACCCCCTTAAAAGTCTGTGTGTCTCAGTAACTTTAAGACAAAGAGGCAATGCTGTTTACTGGAAAGTAGCAACTGACAAAATGCCAATGGGGACTGTATCCCCATGGCCAAACTGATAACTTCACGCTAAAACTTCCGTGCGGTGCAAGCACCAACAGCTGACCGCGGCAGTTACAACAGCAGTAGGAAGAGCGGAGGCTGCAGCAGACTCCGAGGCTTCTACGGGCACAAGCTGAACCATGATAGCGGCAATATCTCGTTTCATCATAGCAGTTGAACCGCCGCGTTTAGACTAGTTCATCAGCAGCTGCTGTACTAGCTCAAAAGGCGGCTCAACGAGCCTCATGAGAAGCAGAAGCCGGAGCAGCAGCCTTTGCTGTCCTTTTTTGAGTTGCAAGAGCAGGGGTGCTAGCCGTCGGTGTGTTATGGCTTCGAAGTGATGCGAGTTGCGTATAAAGAAGAAGAAGCAGCAACCGCACCAGCAACAGCTTGCACTGCACTCGATACCAGAAACCGTCACCCTCATCTAATGCGATAAATTGAAAGTATCATAGGAGGAGACACGCCAGCATCCACAGTAGCAGGCTGCTGCCCCCAGGTGGGCCTGTTGTTCGACTGCTGGCATCCGCTCACAGGCGCTGACTTGGACCGGCCGCACGTGGCGATTGTGTATTCTCCCACAGTTGGAAGCAACAGCACCAGGCACGGCAACAGCATTGACACCTACTCCAGAACAGTAAGAGCAAGCAACTTAGGTGCCGCCGGAATATCCTTAGGCGCTGCTGGTCCAGTTGTATAGACTGACAGCCACTGCTTCCTCTTTTCGTTACACCGTCTCCCCTGTGTCCATCCACATAAAGGTGTCTCCTTTTGCTCTCTGTTCCCACTTTCTCCTCCTGATGAAATTTATACTTCCTTTTGGCCATATCCAGCAGCCATTTCCTCCTCCCTCCGACGCAGCCGCTGGCAACTTCTGTGAATCCCTACGTTGCAAGAGCAACCGCATTGTAGGGCCGCAAGGAAGCTTCGGGCTTCTTTCATTTGCCACTCTCGGATGTGTGCACGCTGTAATGAGAGGAAGGTGGTACTTAGCGGGCAGCTAGGTGGACAGCACCAATGCAGCAGGAAGGATGCGCGTGTGGTGGCAACTAGAGTTCGGTGTTATTTATTAACAAACTTTCACCGAATATCAGTATTAGACTCCTAAAGTTTATGGTGGATTGCCGCCTGCCAAGACACCGAGGAACCTTTATATTGTCATCACGACTTATTGCTGGAGGCCGCAACCCACTCCGCAGTGGAGTGTCCTAACAGCGCTGGAAGCTGCCCAGTGCCTTCAGTGGCTAAACAGTCCGTACGATGGTGCTGCATTTGCACCAAATATGCATCATAGAAGGTGCATTTGCGGGAAGACCCCCCAGTTGCAGCATATGTCCCTGTAGCTACAGCTGCTTGGAGTTGGGATAATGGCAAGAATGAGCAGCAAAAACAGAGCATGAATTTGCGAGCTTCACCGGCGGCACCACTGGCTGCTTCTCGAGCCTTTCATCGGATTGAACGAGGATATTACTTGCGCAGTTCCATCAAGCGAGAAAAGGGTGTGAGGAGTATGCAAAACCTTGGCTTGGGGATTCCACATCTGCATCTGCAAACGCTGGACATGCTCACTGCCACAGCTAAAGTGGAGGCAGCGGAAGCATCAGCAGAAGTAGCAAGAATAGATAGAGGGGCAAAGCCACCTGGACACGGCGTACCATGGTGGCGTTACTGACTACCTACAAGACGATCGTGAGGCCGTCGCAACAAAAATGTTGCGCACTAGCAGCCATGCAAATTTCACGCAGTGGAAACCTTGCAAAATTTTACTCGGTGGCAGCCTTGCAGAATTTTACTCAGTAGCAGCCTTGAAGAATCTTACGCAGAGCAGTGCCTGGTGCTTGCTTAGGCGTTCGATTTGGGCTTTTTGCAGGTTGCCTGGACACGCCAACATTTGCACAACATATATTTCGAATCACATGCACGTTGCATCCATACTGCTGCCTACGCAATCAAATATTCTTGTCACTACCACTGGGATAAGGCACAATATGCCTCGGCTCTTTGGATGATTGTGCACAGCACTGCGCATTCCGAACACCCAGCAAGCTCGACGTCAAGTATGGCTTCGTAAACTAGAGCCTTCATTGCATTATTTAACCTATAGAATGGAAGCTCTAGTAGGTTAAAGATTAGAATGGAAGCTCTAGATCTTTTACGGCCTCCAAGTGCCTTGGAACCGTTCGCGGGTTAGGTTGTTACAACCGTTCTTTTACGGTCCATGTTCTCCAGTGCCTGACCGTTTTGCATCAATGGTAGGACGTTTGGTTTACATGCAAAATTGCTCCACCAGGCTGCAAGTGCGAATAAGAAGATTGAATCACAGCTCGTCAATCTCTGGAGAAAAAGGCTCTCGCTTATCCGTTCTCGCTTAGAGGGTCGAAAGCCATGCTACCGTAATTAAAGTTGCTCATGAAGAGAAAATCATTACGATTCATTAATGTTCGAAATTTTTGAAGTTACAAGGAGAAAATTATGTTTGAATTCGTGTAATTCCACATTCTGAGGACGTTCAATTGTTGTACGTGTAACTTTGGTACTGTAATCCAGAGCCTCGACACCGACACCGAGAACGCCTCGAGTCTTGGTATGTTTGGATGAGAAAAATGAATCGTGAAGTAAATCTGAAATTAAATTTGTGGTACTATAATGAGAAAACGCGGTTGGCAAAAGTGGAATTCCTGAACCTCATTTAGAGTTCACACGGTGGTGCTTAAGCATCAACGAGCTTTTCTACGATTGGCGTTTTAAGCGTGTCAGACGTCTCATCATTGTAACAGTGTGAATGCCAAGACTTTATTTTTTTTAGAATTGATAGCCTTCCGACTATAAATGGTATGTGGGCAATATCAGGTATATTGGTGGATTTGGCAAAACTTGGACTACATGATCGTCTATGATTGACCGTGAATACATGAAAGCCTTCCTACTGTAAAGAATAAAAAGAAAATAGAAAACCAGCTGTAGAGATATCGCAGTACGCAGAACTCCGCCACAGCTGTCGGGCTCCCCACGATCGGGGGGGCTCGAGTTAGGAAGAAGTCTCAACAGCGACAGAGGCAATTGCGTTGCTCTGCGACGATAATAAAACAAAGACAATATCCTTCCCCAAATCTGTTTTTGTTCTTTTCTCCTTCTAGCCTCTACAGTAAGGAGGAGCTATCATATACAATACACAAACTGCAGAACCTCCCGCTGCTTGCTGCGGCCCCGCCTCTGTCTTCTTGAGGCCTCCTCTTCTCCCGCTCCTCATTTGTCTTTATTTCGCAATTTATCTTTTCCTTATTTTCTTTCTACCTCCCTCATGATATCTGCAAGAGCTGGCAACTTCCTTCTTAGGGCCCCCCAACCTGGGGGGCCCCCCACGATGTTGCCTCGTCGTCTCTTTGCTGTTCTTCAAGAGCCATGCCTCTCAAGCTACCCCCAGGGATCCGATTCCCAGCGAGAGTCTCGCCAGTCCCCAGCAGCGGGGGTTGGGGTTTCTCCCGAGGGGCCCTCGGGAGGCGCTGCTACAGGCGCTCCTGCAGCTGCAGCAGCAGCTGCTGCTGCTACCTATGCAGGTCCTCCCAAGGCTGGTTTAGATGCCACTGTGGGGCCTCTTCCCGTTAGCCCCTACGACCCTGCCCAGCAGCCACCTCCCTATGGACAGTTTGGATCTGGAGATGCATTGCATGGTTCTTATGGGGAGACTTCGGGAGCTGCACATACGCCCGGGGGCCCCGGTGTGACGGAGGGGCCATATGGGCCTCCGCCATTCGGCTATTACTCGGCTCCCGTCACATCATTCCCAGGCTACTCGATGGGCCCTCCCCCCTTCATAGCTGCGCCTCTGCAGGGCATGGGGTGCTATCCAGCCCCTCCACCTTTGGGGGCTCCTTACGGCATGGGGACCCCTTATGGAGCCCCTCCTTCTGGTGGGCCTCCCCAGAGCTGGATGCCTGGGGACCCTCAGGGTGGGGTGTGGGGTCCTGCGAGGCCCCACAATGTCCGCGGGAATGGACCTTCTGGCGAGGGAGGGGGACCCCCTGCCCCCCAGACGGCGCGGGAGCGGCAGCGTCAATTTTTGAGTGCTTCTGCTTTGACCGAGTTTGATTCCTTAGAGGCGAAATGCTCTTTTGGATTGTTTCTTAAAGGCCTCAGCGAGGGGAAGCTAGCTGGAAGAATGGGGTTTAAAGAATGGTTGTATGCAACCAATGTTGTAAGCGATATGCTGCGTCGGGAGGTACAACATGAGACAAACTACGATTTGCTCTTGCATCAGCAGCTGCTGCTGCTGCAACAGATACTCAAGCTGCTACAGCGCGGCCGAAGCAACTTCCTGCCCCACGATGTTGCTTTGTTGGCCGCGAATGCAGGACGTCTTCATGGGGCTTTTTGCATGCATTTCTTAACCCGGCAGACCCAGAAAGCGCAGGAGGTGTTGAATGCACCTTCAAAAGAGCTAAGGAAGGCTCTGCAGCAGGCAGCTACTGAGCCAGCAGCAGCAGCAGCTGCTGCTGCTGCAGCTGGAGCAGGAGGAGTAGGGGGAGTTGAACAGTTAACTGAAGGACCATTGACGCTGAGTGTTTATAGAGGCGTCTGCGATGCTATTGTATCCGAAATTGTCTTCTCTTGTGCCAGGAAACTGCATTCCTTTCCTCCGTCCACGCAGCCTTCGCATGTCAGGGCTCTGCCTACGCTAATGCGAGCTGCTTCTGCGCAACTGCTGCCTCGAGACACAAGCAGCAGCAACAACCAGCAGCAGTATACTGCCAAGAGGGTAAAGGCTGTGTGGACGGAGCTGCTGCAGCGCATCTGTCCCCTCTTAGGTCGTTATGATGTACTGCAGCTGCTGCAGGTGCTGCAGGGGGTTGCCGCTCTCAGCAACAGAAAAATCATTCGAGATAACGATCTCCTTACACTAACACAAGGTAGCCGCCTATTGCTCCACCATCTCGCGATGGACACTAAACTAGGCGTTGTCAATGGGGTTTTGTAGAGTAGGGTGTGTGGATTTGGGTGTATAAGCGAGCGTTTATGCGTTAGGGATTACCAGTTAGCGCTAGTGTATTGCTGTTTATGATTGGGTTTGCGCGTGTACGTGTGTGCTTGTAGCTGCGGGCTCCTTGCTAGAACAGGACCGTTTTGTCTCGGAAGTCCTCGAGAGCCAGCGGTGCCGAGTACTTCAGGAGTTGTTCAAATGGTCTCTAGAGACTCCCGTCCCATTTGGATTCGTCAAACATATTGCCTGGCGAGCCGTTAGACTCTTCAAGCTCAACCTCAGATGGTACTGCGCCTATCTGTTTCGCCTCTTTCCTCTCCTTACTGTATTCTCCTCTGTCCACTCTTGTATTCTTCTCTCTTTCCTCCGTCCCCTTCTTGCCTCTGCCTCTCCTCAACATTGTCGCCTCGCTACCTCTGTCTCCTTTCGCCTCCCCTAACCCCTCGTCTTCTGTCCCCTCTCTTCTTCGGCCTCATAATGCCTGCGCTCTTTGCTGTTCCTGTGCCCCTTTCTGCTCTCCCTGTTTTTCATTCAGTGTACGTTGTTTCGTTTTCGTCCCTCATCGTCTTGTATCGCCTTTCTCTGTCTTTGGTTTGTTAGGATTGTTGCCGTTTTGTCCTTCTTTGTCTTGTAATCCCTATTTCTCTTCTTCCGTTTGCTCTCTATTTCCTGTTTGCAGCCCGCTTGCGGTGTTCTGCGATTGTGGTCTCCTTGCCTGTTTCTTTTGTATCCAAATTGTTTCCTATGTGTGTTGGAGTTATTTTTTTAGGCGTGTAGCCCTTGTCCCACGTATGCGTCCGGCTTGTTCCCTTCATGACTGACGAATTTCTTTCTCCACTCTGTCCCCTTCCTCCCTATCCTTGTCTCCTTTTGTGTCCATAGTGTTTCCTTCATGTCCTTACCCCTCCGGTCTGCCCCGTCTTTGTGTCCTTTTGTCTCCTTTTTGTCTCGGTTCGCCCCAGTTTTGTCCCGTTTCTTCCTTTTTGTATTCCTCTCGTCTCCCACGCGTTACGTTCTGACTCATATCTGTCTCCTCTATATCCCTTCTTTCCACCTTCTACCTCCTTTAGCCTTCGTCCCTGTTCCGTTCGGGCCTGTCGCCACCCTTTCTACTTCCTTTACGCTTTGCGCCTTCATCATATATCAAGTTTGTTTCCCGATTCTTTAGGCTGTCTTCGAACGAGACTGCAAAGCTGCTGCCTCTCATTTGCGCCAATCGCCTGCTGTGTGAGCGTCGCACACTTCTTCCTTCCCCGTGCTTTTCCGCAGACTTCTTTCCTACTTTGTTTTCTATCAGTTTCTGTCTTGGACACGTATACAAAGCAGTGCCTTCGTTTTCCTCTGAGACTTTTTAGGAAGCAAGGAAGAGAAGGATACACGACGAGTGGCTGCTTTATGCTCTGTTGCTGCTGCGGTTGGCGTGGCTATTGCTCTTCGTCCTGCTGCAAATGCTACCGGATTATATATATATATATATATATAAT